TTCAGCTCCTAGTGACCCCACCCACCATGGGGCCCAACAAGGGGATGCCGTCACATGGGAGACTCCCATAGACCGTCACACCAGGGTTTCCCAGGACCTATACCCTCACAATGCAGTCAAGAAGAGCACATCTTGTATGACATGTCCGCCCGGTCTGCATCGATCGGTTGACTCCAAGCCGAGGTAAAAACTGACTCAACGACCAGCCGATTGACTCAAACGGAGCCTGATTTGAGCCTCCCGTTTATCCGAAGCAGGGGCCAAAGCAGTGTGTTGGGGACGTTATGTTGCCCCTCAACTACCAGGATCCCCCTTTCCGGCATACAAGATACCACACACGGCAAACACGTGGGTGGGCGTTCAGATCCCAGGGATGGTAAAGAAGACTTACTAAACCATCTCTGGGAGGTCCCCTCACCACAGACAGGAACCCACATCGAGGGGCCCCGCCTCTTTAGTCTTTGGTCAGAGTGGATACAGAACAAAGCACGTGGTAGTCTAGCTTGCTTTATCTCAAACATGATTTGTTGCGGGCCTCAGAATTTTCGGCACAATGAGACATTGTTTTGCTGAGTGAACAGTATGGCGCCGGGCATTAAATGCAAGGTCAATCGCGAGAATCATCAGTTTCAAGAAGTGGAAGTGTGGGCTAACAAGTACTGTTTTGTGCAACAGAACAGCAGCATTATTTGCCTTTTGTGCAATGGAACAATAGCAGTGCCAAAATAATTCAACCTGAAGCGACATCATGAAAGCCAACACAAGGATTTCCTTCTACAAGGTACGGAACGCAAACGGAAAATCAAATCATTACGACGATCACTAATCAGCCAACAAAATGTGTTCAAGAAACAATCTGGAGAATTGGATGCGGCTGTTGAAGCCAGCCTAGAAATATCTGCTTTAATAGCCAAGAATGGGAAACCTTTCACAGATGGCAATATGATAAAAAAGTGTCTTATCATCGCAAGTGAGATGTGACTTGAGAAGACAGTGTTTTCAAACAATCAGTCTTAACCACATGACAATACAACAAAGAATCTCGCAAATTGCATCAGACATCGCATTAATCACTTGGAGGTCCGGCCCCCAGTCAATTAACTTAATCCTAATTTGGCCCTTCTTCAAAAAAGGTTGTGCATCCCTGATTTGGTGAAACAGAAATGTCTGTCTGAACTCCACTGTCTTTGTGGATTTCAGAACAGCAGCAAATGTCTTCTGTTTCACTAGTGCACTTAAAGTGACCATGCAATGTGCCTCCAGGTAAGACATATTATTAATCGTCTTCAGTCACTGAATTTCTCTCTCTCTCTGCCGTGCAGTGCATTTTCTGGAATAGGCAGGGTGGGAATGTTTGCAGTTTACACAGCATGAAAAACTTGTGCATTCAGTACTCTCATGGTCTTCAATTTCACACTGTGCACATGCTTTTTTCCTCTGCATGATGTTTGGGAGTGTCCAAACCGCTGACATTTAAAGCAACACAGTGGATTTGAAATGTACGAGCTAAGTGGGCAACTGAAATATCCTGCCGCAACAGAAGATGGCAATATTGGTTTGTTGAAAGTCAATATAAGGTGTTTTGTTGGTATCAACTTGCCATTTCGACAAATCGAAATTTGTCGAACAGCAGTGACACCTTGGTCTGAGAGACCAATTGAAATATCTGATTCATCCTCAGACATCAGATCAAACTCAGATATCACACCACGTGATAAGTTCAAATTTGTGTGAGGTATGATGGTTACCATTATGTTTCCTAGAGACTTCATTTTCAGAAGCTTTGCTGACTGTTGACAGGAGACTGCTTGTACAAGTAAATCTGCTGACCTCAATTTTTTTAATTTTTTATGATTCCCAATGGTCGGTTTAAGCAATTTTTGAATCAAATAAGGAAAACGTTTAGATAGAGTTGTTTCACCTATAGCATGAACAATAAAGTAGGCTGGTTGATTGGAAGATATAACATCACTTGGTGTTAATGCATCAGTACATGTTTTAGGTTTTACTGAATCCATATTTAGAGATTAATATTCAGCTCCTAGTGACCCCACCCACCATGTGGCCCAACAAGGGGATGCCGTCACGAGTGACTCCCATAGACTGTCACACCAGGGTTTCCCAGGAGCTATATCCTCACAATGCAGTTAAGAAAAGCACATCTTGTATGACATGTCTGCCCAATCTGCATCGATCACTTGACTCCAAGCCGAGGTCAAGAACGACTCAACGACCAGCCGACTGACTCAAACAAAGCCTGATTTGAGCCACCCATTTAGCCGAAGCAGGGGCTAAAGCAGTGTGTTGGGGACGTTATGTTGCCCCGCAACTACCAGGATCCCCCTATCGGGCATACGGGATACCACGCACGGCAAACACGTGAGTGGGCGTTCAGATACAGGGATGGTAAAGAAAAAATACTAAACCATCCCTGGGAGTTCCCCTCACCATGGACAGGAACCCACATCAAGGGGTATAAAAGTCAGAGTCTTCTATTCCTCTTCTATTCCAAAAACAACCACCAACACATTTCTGCAATCAGTACAGCCATAGTCAACATCAGGTACTTGTGTTTGTATGGTATCACCAATTTGAACAGAAGAAAATGGCAAAGAATTTGACGACAGACTGTCGCCTCACTGTCGATATCAGCTTCTTGTGTTCGACCTCCACTTTTGAGTCTCTTTATGCTCCATGCATACCTGGTGAGTGTTAAAATTATTTTAAATAAAATTAATTAATTATTTTAAATTAAATATATCATAATATAATGTAGGTGTTATATTGGATTGTCCGGAAAGTTCATACCGATTTTTGGTAGGTGGCATAAGGATAGGTCTGAACATATCAGAATGATTGAAAATAAATACTCTCTTTACGTTGCATGCATACATACCGTAAAAGACAACACTTCAGAGATATTTGGTAAAATAATTGTTTACAATACGTAAATTTTTGTCAGTTTTATACGCCTTTAAATATGAAGATAACAAAGTGCATTTTATGCATTTAATGCTTTTCTTCTTTTACCAGAATGGCAAAAATGCCACGCAAGCGGCAAACAAGACATTCGTTGTATACGGTGAATGTGCTGTAGCTAAAAAAAAACTGTGCAGAAGTGGTCTGCTAGGTTTAAATCAGGGGCCATATTCTGGTCACCGTCTCTGGTCTCTCATCTCTGACAAGCCAGTCACTGATTGGCTAATCCAAATGATTAGCCTATCAGTGACTGGCTTGTGAGAGATCAGAGACCAGAGACAATTACCGAAATACGGACCCTGGTGATTTCATCCTTAAATATCAAGAACACCTGGGTAGGCCCTCCACCACAAATAAAGATCAGATTAAAACACTGATCAAGAATAACTCACGCTATATGACATGTAAATTAGCAGAAATGTTAAATATGTCAAAATCCACCATCCATGAGCATTTTGTAAAGTTTGGCTACATAAACCGTTTTGATGTATGGGTTCCCCTCAATTTATCAGAGAAAAATTTATGGATCACATTTGCATTTGCGACTTGCTCTATAAATGCAACGAGGAGACACCATTTTTGAAGCTAGTAGTGACAGAGGATGAAAAATAGATCATTTATAATAATGTTGAGTAAACAAAGTCTTGGAAAAAGCAGAATGAACCACCTTTAGCCACCCCAAAAGCCACTCTTTGTCCAAAGAAGGTCATGCTCTGTGTCTAGTGGGATTGGAAAGGAATCCTGTATTATGAGCTTTTACCAAACAATGAGATGATAAATTAACAGAATTATTGTTCCCAATTAGACAAATCAAAGACAGTGATTGAACAAAAATGTCCAGAAATAGCAAATCAAAATAGCGTTGTGTTTCATCAGGACAATGCGCAGCCTCGTGTGTTTGATAACTCGACAAAAGTTGTTGCAGCTCAGTTGGGATGTTCTACCCCATCTACCATATTCATCAGACCCGCACCATCTGATTTCCACCTACTTCAATCATCACAAAATTCCCTTAATGGAAAAAACTTCAACTCTGTTTCAGATAAAAAAAAAATCACGTAGAAAAGTTTTTCACTGAAAAACCTGAGATTCTGGAAGAACAAAATTTTCAAGCTGCCTGAAAAATGGAGACAGGTTGCAAAATAGAATGACACCTATATAATTTAGTAAATGTATACTAAAATTTAAATCTCCTGCGTTTCAATTTTCCTTCAAAATCGTCACAAACTTTTCAGACAACCCAATATATTACAATTAAAATTAATTTAACATTATAATATACGTGTTATAATTGAAATTAATTAACAAATTCCAAATTCAAAATCGATTTTTACCATGTAATACATTAGGAAGGCAACTGGGGTTTGTAGCACAGCATGTAGACACATTCAGAAAAATTAATTTTTTAATACATATATTACTTTAAAAAAAATTATCAGCTAGAGATAAATATTGTGTTAAAATTGGAAACTATTTAGGTACATTTTAGCAAATAAAAAGCAAAAGTTTTTTTGAATGAGAAGAAAATTTTAAAATTTTCAATATTTTATTTAATCTATATAAAAAATATAAAATTGTTTATTTTAGGGAGAGAAAAATTGTATTGGGTTGAACCAAACAGTCATTCGGGTATATACATAATCGCTTGTCTGTGGCACCTCTGTTGTGATTATCAAGTTTTAACTTGTTTAGGTTGACATTACGAATATTTGCATATTTATTACGTAAGTTTAATTACAGCTATTTTTTAAAACTTAACTTTTAAGAAAAAAAAAACATTAAAATGAAAGATAAGAAGGTGCATTTTCGACATCTAATGCTCTATTATTTCTGAAAACAAAAAAATGCAATAAAAACTCAAAAAAAGATGTGTGCTGTATATGGGAGGATGCAGTTACTGATCAAACATGCCAGAAATAGTTTTCAAAATTCAGGGAAGGAGATTTTTCTCTCAAAGATGCACCTCGGTCAGGACGACCTTCAACCATAGAAAATGAGTCTGTAACAGCTTTAATTCAAAATGATTGGCATAAAACAACACGAGAGATAGCTGACATCTTAAAAATATCCCAAACATCTGTTGTCAGACATTTGGCTAGCCTTGGATACACTTCCCGTTATGATGTTTGGGTTCCCCATAAGTTAAGTGAACGAAACCTTATTGAGCATGTTTCTGTATGTAATTCACTTTTAAAACGCAATGAAGAGGATCCCTTTTTAACCCCTTTTGAGCCGCCCATTTTTTTAGAATTTTTAATTAAGCATAAAAAATACTTAAAACTGAAAAAACACGAAAGAAATGCGTTAATTTTGAAGAAAAAGCTTCAAATTTTATTTTCCTTTGTCTCGTCTTTCTGTGAAATATAACATCGATGAGTCATTGTTTACACAGCTGGGTGACCTTGAACACAGCTGGAGTCCGATTTCCCGGGACATTCTCATAGACATCGCGGGAGGACAAGGGTTTAAAGTAGGGTGACTTCAATCTGGCGGTATATTTTTAAATATTTTAAAAAAATTATAATTTTTATTGCGATTTCCGACCCCCCCTAATTAATTAAACTTCTATATAATAAAATCTATTAATTAAAAAAATTAAAAAACTATCGGAAGTCGTTTTTGACATCAGAAAGCAGCTTTAAATAACTTTACCGAAGGAAAATCGGTGCGCTACAACTTTAGAATGATAAATTAATTTTGATAAAAAACTCCCATTAAAAAAACATTAAGCCTTCATCGAGCCTTATCAAAGGCTCATTAAAATCGCGATAAATTTTTTTCGCGTGCGCAAAAAATTCTGAAAAAATTTGGGGACCTAAAAAACATTCCAAAAATTCAAAAAAAATAATTTTTTCAAAAGTGGCCTTAACGACGTAAGACTATAAAACTTGCTCGAGTCACACTCGAGCGCGGCTCAGAAGGGGTTAAAGCAATTAATAACAGGTGATGAAAAATGGATCATTTACAACAATATTCAACGCAAGAGATCTTGGAGTAAGCCAGGTGATCCTCCAGTGCCACAAACTAAAGCTGGTTTGCATCCCAGAAAAGTAATGATTTCAGTTTGATGGGACTGGAAAGGGGTTCTTTATTATGAGCTTTTACCCAACAACCAAACAATTAATTCCAATAAATATTGTCTCCAACTGGATTAACTTAAGGCTTGCAAGTGCATCAAAAACGTCCAGAATTTGCAAATCGACGGGGAGTGGTATTCCATCATGATAATGCAAGACCGCACACATCGTTAAACGTGAGCCAAAAACTTCTAGACTAACTGGGATGTTTTGAGTCACTCTGCATATTCTCCAGATATTGCTCCCTCAAACTATCATCTTTTTCGTTCATTGCAGAATAATTTAAATGGCATAGAATTTCAATCTCTAGAAGGTATCAAAAATCACATTGTACAATTGGGTGGGTTTCTGATTGAAAAAATTATCACAAACAAAATTATGAAACTACCCGTCAGATGGCGTAAGGTTATTGAACAGAGGAGTGAATACATTGTGGATTAAACGTTTTTATTTATTTCAAAATAGTATATTTTATTTCTTTCTAAAAACCGAATGTACTTTTGGTTCAACCCAATACAAAATTTCTTAAACTTAACATCGAAATTATATCACACACAAATTCAATATTACGATATAGAATGCTAAAATTATTTAAAATAAAATGCAGAATTTAATTGACATTATGACCAGACAAAATGTAAATAAACATGCTCTTCAACATGCCCTTAGAAGAGTTAAAAATTCAAGATATTCAGAGTTAATCATCCTACCCGAAAAGGCAGAAGTGTCTGAAGAATTAAAAGTGGAGGTGGATGAGGCCATTTGGCTCCCACGGAATGAGCAAGCCAGAATGGAACCTCAACCTTGACAGGACAAGAGCTATTGAAGAAATGGAATGTGAATATGTAAACTAAACTTTGGATATTTTCAAAATAAAATACTTTGATAATGATTTTGAGATGAACAAGAGAACAATACTTTGAGATGATTTTTTTTATGTACAGAATTATCAGGGGATCACC